ACAGGGCTCCACTCAAAGCTTTCTTGAGCTTTATTTTTTCTTGTTTTGTTTTATTTTCTTGGTAGGAGTAACAGTAGTTCCTGGCTGCCTTCTTCCTCTATCCTAGGAGGAGAGGAGAGAAATCCAGAGGCAAAGCTTCAGGTAAACATGGCACCCTCTCCCTCTCCCTGTGTTCCATCCCTTCTGAATAGCGGAGATCTGTTCTTGTTTGTTCTTGCACCAGTTCATCTTAGCTAGCAACATGCCTGTGCCTTGCTGCAAATCTCTCAAGGGTTTGATTTTTTTTTGTAAGGCCAGTGGTCAGATCTTCCCAACACTAGTTTCATGTCTAAATAACATGCTGCTTGCACAAATCTAATTCAAGATTCATCTTTTACGAGGAAAAATCCTTCATCAAGCTTCACCTCACCATATACTTCTCATAATTTTTTTCCTTGTCCTGTTTTCGCCCCTTCAAGCTTAGATCTGGCATACCTGTTGATGAAATATCTCATCTTTTTCTTCGTGGCCAACTGAACTCATGTAGCTGACTATTTCTTGCCATGTGTTTGTTCTTGCAGGGTTTGTATAAATTCTAGATCTAATCGACTAACCAGAAAAAACAAAAAGAAAGCGAGAAAGCATGAGTCACTTCGCCGCCGCCATGAAGAGCCCCCTTGCCGTCGCCGCGCCCGCCGCCACCGGCGACGCTAAGAGCCCGCTCTTCTGCCCCAAGCCGCGGCGCCCCGTGGCGCCCCTCCGGTGCCACCAGAGCGGCGGGTTCTCCGACGCCGGCATGGATCTGCTCGACCTCCTCCTGTCAAAGGTGGGATTTTTTTCCTCCTCGCTCGGTCGCTCCCGGATTTCCCCTCTTGTGTTTTTCTAGTAAAGCATACAAGGAGCTGACGTTTTCCTGTCCGAACGTTCTTCGGCAGGGAGAGGAGAGCGGTCTGTCGGCGGCGTCCCAGCAGCCGCCGCTGTTCTGCGGCTCGCCACCGCGTCGAGCGTCGAATCCGGTGGTCCACGACAGCCGGTTCGGCATGGACTGCCCGCCCGTGCCCATGCCCATGCCGGGGCTCCCGGTGGTGGCCGCCGCCCCGGTGGCCGTCCAGCGGCCGACCCCGCGTCCGTCGGTGGCGGCGCCGTCCATGTCGCCGCGCGGCGCGGCCGGGTGCGCCCGCGCCCGGTTCGCGTTCCAGCCCGCCGCGGTCCGCGTCGAGGGTTTTGACTGCCTCGACCGCAGCCGCGGCGGCCGCGGCCATGGCATCACCGCCATGGCCTAGATGCACATACAACACCCCAAGTAACCCAGAGAACCCTCCTCATCCTCCATCCATCCATGGCGCAAAAGAGCCATCTATCCTTTGCTACCACAAGCACTTGTTTGGAGGAGAGGGGAGGGGAGAAATTGAGAGGATCAATTCGTCCTTAATTTTAACCCCCCTAAAAACTACTACTTTTATATAAATCCGTCCCATCCATCCATCTTCCCACCCAACCAACCAATCCATCCCAACAATCATAATGAGTTTAGGTAATTTTACCACAGATCTTTTTTGTATGTAAATAAAGTTTCAGGTTCAGGACTTCAGGTTCGTCATCATGTAAATTCGGGAGCACTACTAGCTGGGGAAGGGAATGAAATTGGGTAGAAATCAGAGGGAGGAGCAGGGACAAAAAAGAAGAAGAATGCCCCTCTTGTATCCTCTTGTATTAATCAAGATTTCCTCATCTGTCCCTGCCCCTTCTCTGGGAGGAGGATTGGTTTAGTCATTGAATTAGGTGGGAGGGAGGTTGGGATTAGTTAGGTAATCTGTCGTAGTTCATCAATCAAGATGCTTTCAGTCTTTTTGGTTTTTGATGATGGAAATTGTTTTTGTCCGTCCGTCCATGCAACCAAGAAATTTCTTCCAAGGCCATGGGGAATCTGTACAAAAGAGTGGCTACCTACATGTGGAGAGAGTTGAGTTTGTCTGAGAGCAGCAGCAGCAGCAGCAGCAGCTAGGTTTAAGTCAGTCAGTGGATGAGCTGAGAGAGACATTCACATGCTGAGAGGGTTATTATTTGTGATATTTTCTTTTCTTTTCCTGATTTTGTATATTGTAATATCCTGCTGGATTTCCAATGAATCAACCTGTATAATAGTTATTATTATGAATCATGCTACATGAATGATTATCTTCACCACCAGCACCAGCACCACCCTGGAATTCAGACTTTTCTGTCCGTGTGCTGATGTGATTTCTCTAATGGTGGTTGAATGGTCCCATGTCAGTCATCAGTCGACACATGGTTTCCATGTGCCGAAGCAACACGGACTGAGGCGATAATGACGGTGACGTGTCAGTGGCTCCTGCTAACAAATACTACAATTAATCAGTAGCCGCTTGTTGGCTTTCCTTTCACGAGTCAGGTCCGCAGCTGACTCATGCAGAGAGGGATTTCAGGCCACGTTTAAGCAGCAGACGAGGGGATTAGCATGACAAAAAGCTCTCGCTGGATGGATGTCGTTGTCACCCTCTCTTAAATCTCTCGCCCCTGGTTTGGGCTCACTGATTTGGGCCTGGATGAGCTGAGGCTCATCTGCTGAAGTTTCAGTAGTTTTTCTTGTTTTCTATGTTTAGCCAGTCAATCAGTGTGCTGGTGAGAGAGACGGCCTGGCTGCTGGCTTTGCTTGGTGCGTGCTTGCTCGCAGAAATTCAGAGTTGAAATGGCAAGCGGAGGGAGAAGGAAAAAAGGACGGGTGAGGACATGTCTGTGCGTGTGGCGTGTTGTTGCAGCGTGGTGTTGCTGTCTCCTTGCGGCCAGGCCATGCCTGGAAAAGAGGTCAACCTGAGAGAGAGGCAGCAGACGCCATGGAAAGGTGCAAACTGCAAAAGGATGCTGCAACGGCTTGCGGGGTTGTTGCAGCATACTTTGCACTGTAGTTTGAGCTCACTTTGCACTGTAGAAGTACAAATCTAAAGGTTCAAATTCAAATTTGATGGATGAAGGAAGGAAAGAAAGGCAAATGGATTGTTGGCCTTTCCAATTACTCTAGCTCACTTAGGTTTTTTGCTTTGAAATATCAGTGAGGCTTTGTTTGGACTTTGGACATCCGCGCCAATCCACGCAGGGGCAGAAAAGGGAATTCGTAGAATGTACGCGGCGCCCCTGCCCCTTCACGTAGAGGATTCGGATCCAGACAGCGTGTTTGCGTCAACGGGCTCGCTCGGGGCAGCGTCGTCACTTCACTTGGCCGGAGCCGCTGGAGCGTGTAGCAGCTGAGCTGTCCACGCCAGTGGTGGTGGTGGGGCCCAGGCGTCACTAGATCCCATCTCATGCGAATGCGAGATGCGTCCGTCGGGGTGCGTGCGTAAGGTTGTTGGAGAGCAGCAGAGGCAGCAGGGGCCGTGAATTCAAAATATCGGTACGGCCACACGGTCACACTGTATCTGTATAAATATTCTATTCTCCTGCTGTCAGGACTAACGGCGCGTTTGAACGGAATACACAAATATTCTGTTCTTCGCATTTGACTTAGCCCGTGTTTAGCTGAGCGAATTTTGGAATTTGGGTTACCGTAGCACTTTCGTTTTTATTTAGCAATTAGTGTTCAATCATGGACTAATTAGGCTTAAAACGTTCATCTCGCAATTTCCAACTAAATTGTGCAATTTGTTTTTTTAGTCTACATTTAATGCTCTATGCACGTATCGCAAGATTCGATGTGATAGATACTGTAGCACTTTTTGAAAAAAGTTTTTGGAACTAAACATGGGCTTATAAGCCATGGCTTACCAGCCAATAAACAATATTTTTCTCTCCCACTAAACCAATTAACAGTACTTTCAGCCATAGCTTATAAGCTAAACCAGCCAAAACGAACAGGGCGTTGAAATCCGTTTGATTTTATGAAAAAACAGAGGGGGAAAATGGTCATTTGGATTTCATTTGAATTTGGCGTCGAATTTCATTTGAATTTGGTGTCGCAAGCATGCCTTGCGTCGAGCACTACTACTACTACCTGTTGTTGCGCTAGAAAACCGCAACTGCAAGGCTTGTTTGACCGTCTGCTCTGCTCCGAGAGGCACATGGTATTTTTGATATGATAAATTTATCTGTTATTCTGTTTCCTGGGGTTCCAATTCGTGTGAATGAAGGCTGTCTCCACGGTGGTGAGACTGAGATCCCAAGGAATTATATTCCAAGTGAAAAAAGAAGAAGAAAAAAAATTATATTCCAAGTGAAAAAAGAAATTCAAAAAGAGCTCCAGTCGTGTCGAGCGCAGAGCGTGCATGATCAATTCCAATATTCTACATAGGACATTTTGATAGATCTCTCAATATCTCGTGCCTGCTGCTACTTTCAGTATGGGATTCTTCTGGCTATGGCTATGCAGTAGTACAGACTACAGAGGCAGCACTACCTCGCAGCAGCTAATAGTTTTCTGCAAGTGTGCTATAACTGGACGGCACAAGATATCTCAGTAGCTTCCAAACAACTAAGACGCAGAGGATCAAGATCAACCAAGACGCCACAAACAAACCTGACCTGGAGCTCATCAACAAAAGTTTGACAACAAACCGCCACAACTCACCGCCAAAACAACCACCACCAACAACGATGACGACAGCCCTGTTCGCTTGTTGGTTTCAGCCAGCCCAAACCAGCCAGCCAACAGTGTTTTCCTCTCACAATAAACCAGCACCAGCCAGCCTAAACCAGCCTAGAAACCAACCAGCGAACAGGCCGAACGACAATATTCATTCATTCTGCATGCAAAGGATATGCACCTACCATTTACAATCTCACTCACGGCCACCACATTCTCGGCTGCAACAACCGCGCAGCCTGCATATAACCCCTATTATTATTCTTTCCAGAAATCTGACCGTTTCTCATTTTGGAGCTAAGGTGTAACAGAATCAGTATGCCAAAACTGAGGCCCAAGAGGAGTCATGGAAGTAGGTGCATGCGCTTATCGGGCGGTCCATGTCTACTCATTATTGTTGGCAGCTAGTCAGGGGTGTTCTATGGATTCAGTTTCCATACTTCACAGCCTTGCATGTAATGGTTGGGTTTAGGATATCGTCCTGGCTTTGGATCAACCGGATCTCTAAGCTGCTGGTTGATGGGTCGAAGCCAGCCATCTTATAGTCTTCCACAGTTCTTTTCAGAAGTGCCTGCATAAGTCGTAATAATATTATAAGTAAACTTTGAATAGCTATTACTGACAATAGTGGTGCCACAAACAGTCCAGTAGGACGTTTCCATTAAGAAGTGCATAAACTGGTCAAAACTGACTTGTTTTCTTTTACATTTTACACATGGAAACCTTATTAAAAGAACACGTACATGAGTTTGAATAGCACCTGAACAAAACCATGGCATGAGTGATATACTGAATTACTGATATGATATGAGAAGGGTAGGCCAGAAACAGAAAGTCAGCAGGAGGCTGTATAAGAAACTAAACAGAGGGAACTTTGCCCTACTTGTGACTTGAAATTTTTGTCTTAGTCTATATGTGAGGAAAACCCATGAAATACGTAACCGAATATCAATGGTGCTACTACACCATGCTGCCTGAATTCAGCATACAGAAGGCACAACAAACAGTGTTAAATTTCAGATCATAGTATAGAGCAGCATGACTGAGATACCTGCAAACTGGAAACTGCCAGTTCTGCCGCTTTCTCGAGGTTATCAGGATATTTCTGTGTAAATTACAAGCCAAGCAACCATGTTTTAGAAACAAGAAAACCATGACAAGATATGAATGTTAGTGGATGTTCTCCAGTACTTACATTACTCCATCCTAGTAGTAGAGCAGTCGTTAAATCTCCAGTTCCCTGCATAGCATTATGGAGCCAGGTGAAAAATTAATTTACACAAGTGATTGAATTATATAAACCAGTAATGATATAAACACCAATGAAGAAGGAAACTGGTCCGCATTTACTTCTTTTCTCTACCACTTCACTCAGAATTGGTTCATCCACTTCTCTAACATACTCCTATAATTAGGAGAAACAGACTACAGAGTACTTCACAAGCACACATTTTCATTGTGCACCTGAAACAGTTCATCTCAAATGTTGTGCACTTGATTGTGTGATTATCTCTATTATCTCTACCATCCTTAATGCCACCAATTTTAATGGCAATAATACTCTAGATAACTATCATTAGAAGCTTGTAACTCATTTTGTGTGCTAATTATATTTTGTAATTACCTTTTGTGGCATGAATTCAACTTCCATATGCTCACTGACTACTCAGTTTAAATGGTTAACACAAGAAACTCCTATAAGAATCAGTCTAAATAAAAAAAACAATCATCTTCCTTACTCCACACTCCAATCTAGAAGTTTCTAGCGAAAGGATAGAGAGATATGAGTATACCGTGAAATATGCAGGTATCTTTGGTATCTCAATCTTAAATTGTTCTGGCGGTTGTTCCTGAAGAAAATGATAAAGTCAATCTCCAGTATACATATAATATTACCATACCAAAACAAAAAAGAACATAAGTTTTGAACCAAATTACACGCATCTTCACTGCATCCATCTAAACAAGTAACCATCATAAGCTCGACCTGACTTATATTTTACATGCCAACCTTATAACTACTCAAAAGTGCAGCTTAGTTGGCCACTATTCCACATGAGTATATCACAGCCGTGAGACATCCTGCTGCATGGACTGGTAAGTAGTTCATAGCCAGCCAAAAAAATATCTCAGCAGATGACCTGGATGTATACAAGTTCTGTTATTATTATATTAAAGAAGTATACGGTTTCTGTAGGCTCTGGTGTGTACGTGTATCTGCACATACTGCTCATAAGTAGCATGTGGATGTCTAAGTAACCTTGTAGCCACATAATTTTGTTTAACAGCTTTGTTGGACAAATACAATTTCCATTTGCATCTCAAGTACATTGCTAGTAGCATGTAGATAGATGTCAGCTGCACGATTCTATTGAAAGTGTACCTCTGTTTTTTTGTGACTTCCGATAAGGAGCAGCTTGCCTTCAGTAAGTGCACTAGTTATAACCACCTGGAAGATAATAGCAACCAAACACATGCACACACAACTTCATTACCAGCCCTTTAAAAAGATGACACATGGAACAAAAGAAGCAAACCATAGAGATCATGAGTTATTGTACGTAGGTGTATCCCACTGAACACATTTCACGGTTGATTTATCAGTTGGATAAGGGGCAGCAAACCTTCTGTGGTCCGGCAGTGTGGAGGGTATTGCAAGCTGTCAAGCCATCTTGTTCGGAGGTGATCCTGTAAGTATATGTCAATTCAGGAAAAAGGTGCATGCAATCTACCAATATGATAAGTATGGTATGGAGACTCCTTTTTCTTCCATTTTTCAAAAGAAGAGCATGGCTACCTCAATCCAGTAAGTAGTTCAACTTCAAATTGGTTAGGTGTAAGCATTGAAGCAACTGGAACAACCTACAAATGGTTTGATGATAAAATGGTAAAATTAGGATGGCAAGATATATGGGGACTGCAAAGCACTATGCGTGTGCTGTGTGCCACAAGAATAAGAACTCAAAAATAGCAATTTTGAAATGAGATGCCTTAGCCAATTGTATTTCATTCCAAAGCAGAACAACAAAGGGAAAATAAACTAATAAGCCCAAGTTCTGATCTGAGTAGAAGGAAGAAAGGCACATAACTGTCTGTAGCCAGTTCTACAAGAGATATAGTATAAATAGTGTTCTATAAAATCAATTAACAGTCTAGTCTACAGAAGGGTCAAAAGGGAAAGTATAGAACCCGTGAGTGCCGCATGTTTGCATATAGTGAAAAAGCATGTATCTGTAATAAATAACAGCCTTGCCATTCTAAAAAGCATAAGGACAAGCAATTCCCATTATTTTGGTGTCATATGAGAAAAGCATAGAAGGCGAGAATGGGTTAAATCACCTTCTGTTGATAAACAGATATTAGCTCCTGAGGAACGTATAGTTTTCCTTCGTCACCTAGAACTGGGTCGCAAACTGCAGCATGTTTGCAGTTAGCAAACAGGAATTAACCATGTCTAGTCAGTCTCTAGCTATGATCTGATCGAAGTTGTCCCAGTTAAAATTAAATTTAGTAAAGAAGAAGCAAGCATACAAATAACGAAAGGTGAGAAAAGATTACCATATACAAGATCAGGATTGATTGATCGTAATTTGTCAACAACTTGTAGCACAGTTTCTAAAAAGGAAACTGAGCCTATATAACCTGAGAACCATAAACAGCATGTCACTTTGTGCGTGATGGACCATATTTTTGGCAGTAAAAAGGCACTGATTTTTTGCTTGCTATCATGGCGAAATATCATTAGTGACCAAGCAATTAATCAACTTTCTCTTTCCTGGACATGAAGGATGGACAGGTCTAGTTAGAAGAGGTTATGAAAGTTTCACCTGTTAATAAATGGGTATAATGAAGCAACTGATTTTCCTCCAGTCCTTCAATAAGATCCCAGAGCTGTTTGCCATCGAGAACCTGACCTCTAAATGTTGGGTATCCTGAGATAACAGGTAATGGGGATTGTTTAGGTGTCCCAAGCAAATTGCACATGAGCTTCTGTACATGTACGATATACCTTTACGGCTTTACCTGTATGATTAGAAAACTGTACAGAGTTTATTGGATCCACATCAAAGCCAAGGAGTTGCAGGGGAAAGACAGCCGATTTGTTGCCAACATACCCCTGAATTGGAGCAATCACAGATTGAAAAGAGCATACTATCAAATAAGGAAGTGAAAATGCATAATGATTCCTACTCTGAAACAAAATTCATGCAGATTATTTTGGCTGAACAAATCCCAAATGAAACACAAACTCGTGACCACCCGTCATACAAAAGACAAAGCAAGTCATAACCACTGATCCCTCACACAAACGATTGTGCCACCACTTAGTAAGCGACAATCACGCCGATGATGTGCGCACAAACGATTGTGCAACCACTTAGTAGCTAGGCGACAGTCATGCCGGCGATATGAGATCATGCGGAATGCATGGCTGCATCTTATATATACGGCATCAATCCATCAACACATCAAGGGAAGAGCCAACCTAAACCTACACGCAGAAACTCATATTCAGACTCCATAGAGCTGTGTTCTTAGCCTAGTCCACATGGTAGGGCATACAAAACCACTGCTTCGCCCCCGAATCTAAAACACAGCTCATGCACAGCGCATTCGCACATGAGAAGCGCAGCTACGCAAGGCCACATCCATGTGCGAATGCGCAAACCCATAGGCACGCGCAGAGCCCGACAGTCCGGGGTCCTCTATCATCGGGGGGAGCAAGCAGGAACCCAGGTAACAGATGGATGACAGGACGGGATCAGGCAGGGCAGCGGGCTGGACCTGGACGGTGTGGGACTGGATGCTGAGCACGCGGCCGGTGTCGGACGGCAGCGCGACGGACAGGATCGGCGGCTGCGCCATCTTCGGGTACACCGCCGCCGCCCTCCTCGTCCTCGTCCTTCGGCCCCTCCGCGTCAGCAGCTGCAGCGACCGCGAGCACCACCACCCAAACGCCTCCCTGCAGGCACAGCCACAGCCACGGCACAGCGCAGCAGACACGCTTTAAGCAAGAACCAATGCACTCCCGGTCTGCCAGGTTGACCAGTGACACGATTGCTTGTTCGATTTCGCTCTCGGAAAACAAAAATATCTATCTAACAATTATATTTATTTAAAATACTGTTGCTGCTGAAGCACGCTCTGCACGCGGCCTGTTGCGTCACGCACCTGGGGGAGCAGGAGCAGCGGGGCGCGGCGGCCCCCGCGAGGCGCGCGTGGGAGGGAGCTGCGGCGGCGGCGGCGGCAGTCATGCGACGCACGGACGGCGCGGGGCGGCGGAGCGGAGGGACTGGGAGGCGGCGGGCGAGGCGCGTCGCGCGGGCGGTGGAGTGATCCGCCGGTGCGGCGGATGGCGATGGGATCGTACGGTCGGGAGAGGCAGGTTGGTGGGATCTGGGCCGTCCGTTACGAAAGGGACGGGCCGGATCCTCGTCGTCCTCGTGGGGAAGCCACACGACCATACACACACACCACGGCGGCGGGCTCGACGAGTTGGGCCTTGGTCCTACGTTCCCGATTTAGGCCCGACAGAAAGAAGGAACAGGGGGCCTGCTTCTGTGGGCTCCTGAAAGGCCTTAGCCCACGCAGCGGGTGCTAGGCCTGGGCTCGTCACTAACCAATCAATATTGGACGGAATGCAATGGCGCCGGAGCATTAGCAGGCGTTGGGCCGGCACGTGAGTGTCAGAGCGTCACGAACTCACGCTGCTGGTGTCCTCGGCCCGGTAACAGCCCAGGCCCAGACACCGCTCACGTCACGTGTCTGCCGCCCGCCGACGACTCCTGTGGGCTGGGGCAGACGCGGTCGTCGCTGACTGACCGTGACGTCAGACGGCGGCATGTGCATGCTGCTACGTACGTACTGGTGGCCAGCGAGTAATCTCTCGTCTTTTTTTTTTTTATTTGGCACACTGGCATGGTATCATCTCATCTAGATCTAGTGTTGACCTCTCTCGATCTCACGCGCACAGGAGAAAAAAAAAACTTGAAAACGAGAGGTGCATATTAAGGCCTTGTTTGTTTCTCTCTTCTAAACTTTAGTCCCTATTATTTTAGATGTTGAACATATGTATAGAATATTAGAAATAGATTAAAAATAACTAATTGCACAGATTACGACTAAATTGCGAGATAAATTTTTTAAGCCTAATTAGTCCATAATTTGACAATGTGGTGCTACAATAACACATGTGCTAATGACGAATTAATTAGGCTCAATAAATTAATCTCGCGGATCAACGAGGACTTGTGTAATTTGTTTTATTATTACTATTTGAACACTTTCTTGCGCACAGCTTTAAAAGCTGAGACAGATTCGTACGATAACACGCACGTAAGAGGTTGTTTGGATTTAGGGCATAAAGTTTAAGAGGTGTCACATCAGATGTCATATGGGTATCGCATGGGGTGTTCGGATAGTAATAAAAAAATAAATTACAGAATCCGTCAGTAATCCACGAGACGAATTTATTAAGTCTAATTAATCTGTTATTAGTATATGTTTACTGTAGCACCAAATTGTTAAATCATAGACTAATTAGACTTAATAAATTTATCTCGCAAATTACTCTTAATCTGTACATTTAGTTTCGTAATTAGTCTATATTTAATACTCTATACATATATCGAAATGTCTAATAGGACAGCGACTAAAATTTAGAAGACGTAACCAGTCTATCACACCACATCAGTCTAGCTCGTTTTCCCTCACGGGGAGACGTTTCCTTTTCCATTCACGTGGAAATATGTGCTCATGATCGATACGATGGCTTTCGCTTCCCGATCGACTTGGTTTTGTTGCATGCATGACGGTTAATTTCTTGGCTCCTAATAATCAAATAAACTCAGAGACCTAATGATTTTATACTTTTGACTTTCAGATGATTCATTTTATCATACCCCATTTTATGTGCTGCAGCATCGTCATTGTCATATACTCCATCCGTTCAGAAAAAAATATAATTATGGAAAATGTGCTAGTCAAACTGGACCAACTTTGACTAAGTTTATAGTAATAGTATATGCATTTATGTCTCGAAATAAATTTATTATGAAAATATATTCTATAACTAATCTAATGATACTTATTTTGTCTCATGAGTGTTAATATATTTTCATATAATTTTAGTTAAAATTGAAACTGTTGACTTCTCGAAATGTGAGAATTGCATTCTTTTCTTTTTCAAAAAAAGACGACATGTTATTTTTATTATATATAAGAGGCTAAACCATCCCATGCCAATAAACAGCTTAAAAGTTATAGAGAGTGGTTCTGGACTCTGGTTATGGTACATGTATGTACTCTGCCCTCATGCATGTTAAGTAGTAAATGATGACACTGCTAATTAATGGCCCCGTTCGCGTGCCCTTAAACTCGGCTTGATCCGTTTATTTTTTTCAACCGGAATAGTGTTTTTCCCTCATAAATTCCTCCAGCATTCCTCCAAACCATCCAGATTCCTCCAAAATTCAAACAAGCGAACATGCCCAATGTTGCTTATGTGTTCGTTTGTATGCTCTGATATGGCAACCATAAATAAAAGTAATCTTGTGTATGTCATGCATCTCTATACATTCTACAACAAACATTAGGAGAACTTGCACACCCAATGTACCTATACATTCTACTACATTGAACACTCCAACATGTGAAGTAACAAAGCTATATATCTTACATATTCATGCATAAGGGGAACACCGAAAATGGTAATAAAATAAAATACACTAGAACAATTTTAGCTACCAAGAATCCGGTTTTACTCTTACGGTGATGCTTGACAATGATAGTTTGGCAGTGTCGCGATGCCATCCTTATCGATCCAAGCCTGTTACCGGTAGTTAAAAGGAAATCCCAATAGATGGCTGCCAAAAAATCTTACGAAGACTAACGCACAGTGTTTTGGGCGTTTCACCTGATACATTATTGCTCCAATATCTTTCTACCGATTTTTTTTCCTTCCGTACATGCTATACACTAGCCAATAGATGTCGCAAAAACCTACTAAGACAATAATAACTTTAGTCTTTGTAGGCTAAGAAAAACCATGGGCACATAATAAAAAATATAAACACAAAAACAATACCCCTAACAAAAAGAGGGAAGTAATCTACAACCACTCTAATGACACCAAAATACAGCAAACCAAAAGTTTATTCTTCCAAGGCCGTTACTTATAATAAGGGGAACTCTAATAGCTAGCTCCCAAAAAAATCTTACGAAAGCTAGCGCGGAGTGTCATTTAACATTTCACCTCATACATTATTTCTCCAAAATCTCTCGACTACATATTTGTTTTTTATGTATACGCAAATAAATGTTGTAAAACCTATTTCAATCATATTGTATCTTCAATCTTTTTATGGGGCAAACCATGGGCACACAAAAAATGTATAATATCTCTAATAAAAAGGAGAAAAATGATCTGCAACCGCTCTTAGTAAGAACAAATTAAAAGGATACAAAAGTTTACCTTTATTTGCAAGGCCGTTACAGAAAAGAGAATCCCGACAAATGTCTACCAAAAACTCTTATGGAAGCTAATGCAAAGCGTCATTAGACGCATTTCACCTAATACATTATTATTGCCCCAATATTTTTCTACTACTTATTAATCATTTTTCCTGTCATTGCTATACACTAAAATGAATTAATGCCGCAACACCCATTTTAGTTATAGACATAACTTCAATCTCTATATGTTCTATAGAAACCATGAGCACAAAAAAAACATAAAAACAAAATAAAAAGAGTATCTCTAGTGAAAAGGAAAAATGATCTGCAAACACCAACTAAAACAAACTACAGCAAAACAAAACAAAAGTTCATGCCCGACAGGAATGTAGGTCTAAGAAAACACCAGCACACAATTCCAAACACGTTTGGTTTTATTCGTCACACAAAAAGTGCCGCAAAAAGGTAAACAAAGAAAAAAGAAAAGAAAAAAAGGAATGGCGAAATAAATAAAACCACCTCTGCACCTTCATTGCCTTTCGTCCTTCGGCTTCTCTTGTCCCTCGATAAGCACGTAAAATAAATTTCATTTTTTTCCCCGTCGTCCTCCTCTGCTTCAACTCCCTTCTCCTCCACCTCCTCCGCCTCGGCGTCGTCGTGCGCTCCGTCCGATCTCTCCTCCCATTTCCACGCGGAGGGGAGGCGTCGGCGCAATAAAAGGCGGCGCCTTTGCTTCGCCCCTCCCCGTCCCCCCTGGCATGCGGAGCTAGCCTCGCGGCTGGGCCCCACGCCATGCAGACCACCGGGCCCGCATCGCCGGATAAGCCGCCGGCTTTGGAGCCGGAGGCCGAGGACAAGGTGGTGGAGGAGGGGGCGCAGGCGAAGGAGGAGGCGGTGAAGGCGGGCGACGAGGATGAGGAGGGGGAGCAGGAGGGGAGGGGAGGCAAGCGGCAGCGGTGCGGGCGACGCGGTGCGGCGGGGGACAGCGCCGTGGCCATGGTGAAGCGGGACCTGCTCGTGCGCTGCTTGACGTGCCCGCTCTGCGACCGCCTGCTCCGCAAGGCCACCACCATCTCCGAGTGCCTGCACACATGTGAGTCCATTCCTGCTCTGCCTTGCCTTGCCTGCTCCGCCGCCCCGCCGATCCCGGCGGGCTCCAACGCTTGCGTCTCTACGACGGTTCCGTCCGTTTCTCTGAGCGTTGCCCGCCACGGCGATTGGATTCGACGGTCGCGCCTCGTCCTTGGGGCTGCTCCGGATTTGGTCGCCCGGGGGGTCGGCGCCGTCAGGCTCGGCCGTTCCCGGTAACCCGGCTACGCTGTACGGCCTTCTCGGCGCCCATGCGCGATTGCGATTCTCGACGTGCGTGCGTGCGTTCCGGGCCGTGCTATAGTTTCGCCCCCTCGAGTCTCGACTCCACGTAAATCTAGTTCGAGTTGACCATGTTTGGTAGCTTTCCTTGCTTTCTATTCTTGCCTTATCAGGCTGAGCTGCAATTCTGTTTATTGATGAATCGTGATGCAATGTTGCATCAATGCTGGGCTTCAGCATGTGCATTTTACGTGGACTTGGATTCCAGTGCTGTTGATTGGCCATCTTTTCCCCCAACCCTTGAAATGCTTTGGCTCCTGTTGACATAATGTTCAGGAGGACGTAATGTAAGCCTCCGGTGCTGTGATTTGAGTTGCTAGTCAGTTTGAGTTCATGGTTAACATTACTCCCCCTCTAGGTGTTCAGTGTGAGTTCAACGAATGTTGGCCTGTAATCAGTGGAGCTGTACACAAAAACTTTTGAGGCCACA